GGCGCGGCTAATGGCCAGCTTCAGAGTTTTCCGCGCCCGTCGGTACTCCTCATGAAGCCGGTCCTCCTCACCGTCTCCACGGTGACGCCGCCGACTGCGTGTGTAGGACCTCCGGGCACGTGTACAGGCCGCACGGAGGTCCGCCAGCTCCTGGGACCACCAGTAGACCTCCTTCCTTGGAGGCCGACGACCTCGAATGCGGGGCATGGCCGCATCGCAGATATGCGTAATCGCATCGCGAAAGCGACCAGCCCCCACGTCAACCTCCTCGGTCGGAGCCTGCGGAGACAGCCACGAGTGAATTATGGCTGCCTCCTCTAGTAGGTCCCGGTTTAGTCTGGCAACAGCCCACCGCGGAAAGCGGGATAAACGCCGCGCCACGTGACCCCTACTGGAGTCCTGGGTCCGGGAGAGCTCAAATCGGATATACAGGTGATCCGAGAGCGTCTCAACCTCTTCCAGGACACGCCAGTTCCTTACTCGTGCGGCGAGGGCAGGGGTAGCGAACGAGAGGTCCACTATCGACCCCCCCTGCTGTCGCACGCACGTGTTGGTGGAGCCTCTGTTTAGAAGACAGAGGCCCACCGAGGCCGCCCACTCCTCTACGGCCTCGCCCCTTGCGTCCGTCCTGGGGGAACCCCACGCAATGGACTTTGCGTTGAAGTCCCCCAGCACAAGGACGTGCCCAGACGCTAGTCGCCGTATCGAGGTCTCCAAGCTGGTTAGGAAAACCTCGAAGTCGTTCAAACTCCGGTTGGGGGAGAAATAAACACCATATATGGTGATCCCCCCCCACTCGACGGCAACATATCCAGTGCCCTTGTCTCTTAGCGACAAGGGCGGGGAATGAGCCGTCGTGGAACCGACGACTGCCACGGAGCCGTCCCAGTCACCCATCCAGTTTGGACGGGGAGGGACAGAATAGGGCTCCGCGACTACGGCAACACCTATCGACCACTGTGCCATGGTTTGCAGGAAGAGATCCTGCGCCGCGGCACAGTGGTTCAGGTTCGTCTGGACCAGGAGGTTGGAGACTTGATCCATTACTGGATCGTCTCTACAACCTCCTCCATGGGCGACGACGTCGACGCAATATTGACGTCGGGGGTAGCCTGGGTCGACTGGCTAGCCCCTGACGTCTGCCGAGAACTGCGGGGAGGCTTGCAGCCTCTCTGCCCCATCTGGTGATTGGCGGGCTTATTGCCCGCCGCGCACACTGGGCAGTGAGGGGCGGCAGAGCATTCTGCCGCCTTATGCCCCGGTTGACCGCAGCGGAAACACAGTCCGCCGCAGTCAAAACAGCTGTCGCACTTGACGCGCGTGTGTCCCGATGCTAGGCCTCATCGGTCTCGCCGCCAGGACTGTGATCCTGGCGCTCACGAAACCGATGAGCAGCCTGCCGGCGTCGGCCAATACTTTGGCCGACGCTACGGGACAGCTGACCCACACGGCGCCAAGCCCTCCTGGACCGGGGCGGATGGTGCCGACCCTGACGTTGTCCGCGCTGCACCCCGTCTTCTCCCGGATTACAGCGCGGACATCTTCGGCCGTTACGGAGTCGTCCAGGCCCGAGATGCGCAGCTCTGCGCACTTAGTAGGCCTGGCGATCTTTACACCATCCGTGGCTGTAAAGAGTCCCCGCAGCTTCTCGGCAAATGTGTCCGCCGTCTTAGCGCCTTCAGCCCCAGGGAACTCGAGGACTCGAGCTCCCGTTTGGGCGAGGCGCATCCTGACCCCCACCGTCCCAAAGTCGTTGGCGAGGCTGTCCCGGGCCTTTTTAAAAACGGCCGCGTAGGACAGCCCGCCGTCAGCCGCCTCCGGGGACACGGTCACAACTACAGCCGCGGTTTTGGGCGGCTGCAGCTTCCGCGGCCTCTTTGCAGAGGCCGTTGCCACCGGTGGCGAAGGCTGGGCTTGGGCTGCTTTTTGGGCAGCCCTTCTGGCCCGCCTTCGGGACTTCTTGGAGCCCCTCGCCTCCTGCCAACCCTCGTTGGAGGGGGCAGGTGCGGAGGGGCCCGGCAGGGGTGTCGGAGTGGGGAGCGGAGGGAATGCCACTCCGCTCCTCGGCGCTGTTCTAGGCCCCGTCTTGGCCGGCGCCTGGGGATGCGCCCCGGCCGGCGCCTTAGCCGGTGCCTTGGCCGGCGCCTGGGCCGGTGCCTTGGCCGGCGCCTGGGCCGGTGCCTTGGCCCCCCTCCTCGGCTTTTGTGGAGCCGATGGAGTAGGGGCAGACGCCGCCGCCGCGTAAGAAACGCGGCCTCCCACAACGGGGAGCGCGGTCGGAGCGGCGGCCTTAGGCCGCTGTGCCGACGCGAGCGGGGGGGCGCATAATCGGCGCAGGGGGCAGTCTCGCCTCCAGGCCAGCCAGGCGTCCGTCCAGCATATTCCCAACTGCGATGAGGATTTCTCACAGTTGGGAGTCAAATGCCCCTGAGTTGGTGGTAGGGGCAGGCTGGGACGCGGACGGGGCTTCCCGCTCGGGGAGGTTCGCCTGGAAGCGGGCGAACTGAGCACTCAGCTCGTTCACCCGCTCCGTCAGCTTCTCGTTGGCCACCTGTAGGCGCGATGCGTCACCCACTAGGCCCTCCACGACCTCCGACAAAGCGGAGGAGGAGTCCTTAAGGGCCCTCACAAACGAGCCCTTAAGGTTCACGGATTTAGTGGCCACCTTGTCGATGACGGCCACCGCCGCTTTCGCCCTCTCCTGCACGGACACGGGAGCCTGGGGGGCATTTCCCCCCACCGGCTCCCGAACCTTGAGCAGGAGATCCGCGATCTCCTCCTCCCCTGCGGCCTCGCCGTCCACTCGTACGCTCCTGTAGGACTCCGCGTTTGAGAACGCGGAGCCTGACGGGGTCGAGACCGAGGCCGGTTTACGTGCCCTCCCTCGGCGGCTGCTTGCCACCTTTGGTGGCATCATTTCGCCGGACGTGTCGGTCCCCTCTTCCCTGGAGCGTCCGCGTTTCCGGCTGTCGCTCCGCTCCGCTTCCATGGCGTCCGCGCCATCCGATGAGACGGCGGATCCGGAACGCAAACGATCCGATGCCCTTCGGCTCCCAGAGACCAGAGTCAGACTGACCTCTGGGAGCCCCATCGAGATAGGCGTTCCCGACGCCATCTCGCCCTCAGTGGACGACCCATCCGCTCCACTGTTCTGCTTCTCCTTCCTTCGGTTTGCTTCTTTTTCCGTTAGGCTTGCCTGTTTTCGTTGTGTTTGTCCGATCGTTTTTTTCAAGTTTTTGTTAGCATTTTCCATAGTAAATCCCACGAGTGGGGGAGAACTAGAGGTCCACCCGGGCAGAGATCCCCCATTACCCGGGCAAGCGTAAGTTTTTTACCCAACCGAGGGGTCCGCAGGGACCTCGGCTTGGAGTGCGCTCGCGACTGAACTTCCCATCAGCCATGCATCCCCTGGCCACGCACCAGAACACGGGATTCGGGGAATTTTTTAGAGAGGTTATCTTCCTCGCGGTCCGGGCGGTTAAGCCAAGACCCTCGCCCCCGATCAGAGCCGCGAGACTTAACCACAGCACTCTTCTCGGGATTACGATATGCCGACGATTGACAGGGAGACTACGTCCCCCTGCCTGCTCGGTGGTAGTGTGAGTACACGCCGAGCCCGTCCTCCTTTCTCCACCGCTATCAGCGGAGAAACTGTGGCCCCTACAGGGCCCCGCCATCAGGTTTTTTACCGAGGTTTCCTCCTCCATGCTCCGAAGAGCGAAGAGCCAGCAGGGCAACCGGCAGACACGCCCACCCTGCTGGACCAGGCCTTGCCCGAGAGCCGATGAACGGCTACCTCTTCTGCTAGAATATTGGCCACTGGCGATAATCCTCTCCTCCAAGAGGACAAGGAGGAAACAGTACCATCGCCAGCGTTTCCAGGGTGCACCACGGGGAGGTTTTCAAACCCTATACCAACCCTTCTTGCCAGCGATGTGCAGTAGGCCAAAACCTATTTTCTAAGACTATAAAGGCTGTTTATATATATATTTATATATATATATATATATATATATACCATAAATAAATAACTTTAAAAAGAGTATTAATAACCGACTTCACTACGGCAATATCATTATGGAAATTCTTATAAACTGTATTCTTCGTTCCTGCCAGCCATCTTGCGCAAATCGTCACTCCACCTGGCCTGTGGGCGTCCTACACTACGTTTACCGAGATGCGGTCTCCACTCAAGAACTCGTTTTCCCCAACGGTTGTCGGTTCTGCGGCTAATATGGCCAGCCCACTGCCACTTCAGCTTGCTGATCCGGTAGGCTATGTCGATGACCTTGGTTCACTGCCGGATCACCTCATTTCTGATGCGATCCCTTAGAGAAATGCCTAGCATAGCCCTTTCCATAGCACGTTGAGCGACTTTGAACTTGTGGACCAGCCGTACCGTAAGTGTCCACGTTTCAGCTCCGTATGTCATGATGGGTAGGATGCACTCATTAAAGACTTTCGTCTTAAGGCACTGTTCATTAAAAATTGAGAATTTTTTCTTAAAATTTGAAAAAAGAAAGATAAGTTCCCTACCCATTTACAGAATAATTTTATATATCAGTTCATAACTGAAGTTTTGAGGTTTGTTACCTTTACCATTTAAAAAATACAATAGAATTTAAAAGTTTTTTGAAATTGGTTATTTTTCTTGAGTTCCTCTGTATTGAACTCCGTTCTAAACTCCGTGCTATACAGTTATGCTGTCGAAACATCACAAACTCTTATTTATTTTATTGTAAAAACAATCTATTAAACAAAATTAATATTTATAGGCATTATTATGACTTCTTTTACCCGTGGTTTCATGCCGCCCGCTGTTCCTCCATATAATTGTAGACATGTTTTGATAACCAACCAACCCGTCTAGCTACTATGCGTAAGCCAAAACAATCATTCTAAGAAGATGAATATGTCCAGCAGTGGACTACTAAAGGCTGGTGATGACGATGATGATGAATTTAATGAACGCATTTTACTACATGTCAATATAATGTCGATTAGTACTGACTAGACTCACCAGGTATAGCGTAAACTAAGGTGAAAGACAGCATACCGAATTGCTTCTTTCGCTCCAATCCGGGCCACTCCTCTGTACAGAAGTGCACTTCTTTCGTTTCTATCTAGAATGAATTGAAAGTATTATTAAAATGAATTTTAATCAAACACCTCCTCCCCTAATTCTGTTGGGGGGCTGATAGGGTAGCAACGCACTGTGGCGATGGGTGAAAAGAACAGATGGGTCACTCAGCCATCATGGGTCAAATGGGTGGATGGTTCACCAGGTAAAGTGACTACACTTACCGTCAGTTGACCCAGCTGGTCCTTTGCCCTTGTGGTATAGAACCACAAGTAATAATAACTTAATAATTAATTATTGTCTTTGTTCACTAATCATATTGAATTGTGAAACCCTTACGTACATTCAATTAAGCTTACCAATACTAAATTTATATAAAGGACAATGAAACTAATCTTATATAGAATGCGGGTAAAATCCTAGATATATAAAGAAAATACAGCTATGACAAATTGCTTTGTATTCGAAACCCTCGAGCAAAATATTTAATCACGGTATTGTCATGTGTCTGTCAAGTGAGGAACAATGAACTCTTTTGACATTAAATTTATATCAGACAGGGTTATAAATATCCTAAATTCTTATTTTATGACAAATCACGAGTTTTCCTATTAAATATTTTCTTAGAGATCGAATGCCTATCATTTAATAATTCATAAAAATATGCTGCATGAAAACAAAAATGTGGCTAAAACTTTATTGAGAATATGAATCAAAATAGCACAGTGATCATTTTTAAGAATAATAAATGCACAAAAGTAAAGAGGCCAGTATGTTTGTAGACCTGACATAATACAAAAGTCTATCCAATTAAAGTTAAAGTTATACTGGTACATAAAATATTACTACACATTCAAAGCGATCCCTAGTGGGTACATAACTCTATTTGAAGGAAATCACTGTCCCGTTTAACGAGTTACATTCCAAAGCTTCAATGTATATTTCAATACACACTCATTATATTTTTTTAACTATACTTCATTAACTATCTACACACAAGTTTGTACGAAACCCTCAGTAAAAGAATCAGACCCGCACCTGTTCCATGCTTACATTAAATCAGGGGTTTAATTAACCTTATAATTATCCCCGTTGTTTTTTAAAGTAATTTTTCTTCCAGAAATATTTTAATAACGTTCTTAAAAGACAAAATAAACAGTTTTCTATTTACCTCTGGTTCAAACCCATGATTTATTTTTCAATTTTAATCAATAAGGCTAAACTAAAGTTTTTTTCAACTTTATTTAAAAAAAATAATGTACTTTATATTATCTTTTAGGAATGTTATCTGATTAGTTCTTTAGTTTGAAGCGTTTTATTTGTATATTTGCCGCTTTATGCCCTTTGAATGGGGGAAGCAAATATCAAGTGCTCTTTTAGGAAATAACACGTAGGTCATCATGTAGACTAAAAGAACTATCACCCCAATTTAACTAACATAGTAACGGCGCTGTTACAAATTTGCACTAACTGGTTAATTAAAGTTATAAATAAAGGTGGTATAACCTCGATCCTCGTTTGTGTCAACCCTAACTCAATGTCATTGAACGAATTGACGTTTTCATTATGGCTTCTCACTTACAAAATCACTAGATGCTATTTTAGATTTCTATATTTTTACTTATTCGATAGTGACGGTTTTTAATAAATAAAGATAGTCTGTTTTCATCAGGATTTAAATGAAACATCCAAAGTCCAGTTTTGTTTGTGAAGGGAAACTAACTAATATTTTTAGATCTTATATGGTTAAACGGATTCGACTGCACGGATGGCGTAGTGGCTTAAGCGGTCGCTACGCCGTTTCCTACTACGGCGAGTGTTGTGGGTTCAAACCCCACATGGGACGACACTTTGTGTGATCCACAAATTTTTGTTCTGAGTCTGGCTGTTCTTTGTAACATACATGAAAGGACCATGTATGTTTGTAAAGTCCCCTGCGACACAGGATATATTCCTAATGCGGGAGTTGTCTTTTTCAAAAAAAAAAAAATAACTCATGATCATATCAAAAATGACAAGGTTCTAAGAAAATAAATGTGATTAAAGACAACCCAAAGTCCACATATGAGTTAAACCATATATCTTTTTAAAATTTCAATTATATCTAACGAAAATAACATTTTCCTTTTTTAATATAAATAATTAATACCAGTTAACGCCCTGTACCATCTCGAATTCTAAGATGAATTATTAGTATATGAGCGACTAGAGTCTCTACAAATCTCAGTCAAGTTTCCAATTCCAGACTTTGGTATTTCTTACACTCATTCAATCTATTAGTTTACCCAACCAACAAATTTATTTTTCTTCTGTCTCCCGTCTGAACTAATCACATCCGTAAGAAGTGTTGATGTCAAGCAGCAGCTGCCTTTAAAACAAACCAGGCCTAACACTTTCGCCATGTTACTTATAAAACGTAAATATAAATTGATTATATATAATATGAATGGTAATATTTTATGCTAATGTGTTCAACCTACTAACATAAATAATCAAAACGGTAAAGCAGAACACGCCCTAAACACTGAAAAGGCGTTAATGGACGGCGATGCCCAATATTTGTATGGTGCCATAAAACGTACCTTTTCATAGACCAAGAATTATACCCCGATTTAATAATACGTACATTTTACGAGCAAAGTCGAAATGGTTGACGCCTGTTGTAAGTTAAATTATAAGGTTAACTGATTGTTGTGAAAGTACGAATATTCTTGTAAATAAAGTTTTATCAAAGAGTCTCTCGCGAGTTACATAATTTAAAATAGATTTCCAGAGAGAGTTCGGGTCAGCCTGTGAATGAATTCTCTGACCTTCAAGTAATAAAGTATGGACTGTAAATAGTGTCCGAAATATCCAGTTTGGAGCACAATCCGATCGAACATGTTTAGGACGAGCTCGGACGATTAATGAGACAATTATGTAACTATCTCTTAGACTATATTATAACTATAAATCTCCCTAAGCACTCTTCGAGAGCTTAATATTTATCATACACGAATTCAGTAACATTTAGTATCACACTTCGATGTTGCATGGCAATATAATTTTCTATTTTTGTTTTAAGATAGTATTGTTTTTCAATTTTTGAATTTTGTGTTTTTTTTTAATTTATATATTTTTATAGTATTTTATAGTCCATTTATTTCTCCAAGTTAGTATTCTAAGTGATTTTTACACATTTGCAACATTTAGTGAGACGACAAACATTTCAAAGTAAGATGGAAATCAGTTAAATAGTAAAATTCACAATATTTTCAACCTTACTTAAACTAAATCTTCTAATCCTAAAATTTAAGAATGAGTGAATCATACATACCGATAAATTTTTAAAAGCCTTCGATAAAATAGGCACTTGCTCTTTCCTTACTGTTGCTACCAATGGAAGTGGAATGAATATGATTAAGGCTGCAAACCACAGCATAAATAGGAGAAATAACGCCTGTCTTCGACCTGGTGGCCGTAGTCGTGGTTCTGGTGATATGGACAACCACCGGTCGACAGACATCGCTGTGATAGTGAACACGCTGGCTGCAACGGCTACTCCTAGAAAAAAATAGAATAGAAATGACTAACGATGAAATAGCAGAACTGCAAATGTTTAGTTGTATATCTAACTTGTTACAGCATAAAGAGCTTTTCTTCTCATATTAATTTATCGTTTTAATTTTACGACGTTACGAAACTAAAGGTAAATTATTAACTATTTATTTTTAGGAGTCGCTAAATCTTTGTCGGATATAGGCCTCTTCTTTTTTTTTTTTTTTTTGTTTTTAAAAGGCAACTCCCGCATTAGGAATAAATCCTGTGTCGCGGGGGATTTTACAAACATACAAGAAACGGACACAAAGAACACCCAGACTCAGAACAACAATTTGTGGATCACACAAAGTGTCGTCCCATGTGGGGTTTGAACCCACAACACTCGGCGTAGTAGGAAGCGGCGTGGCGACCGCTTAAACCACTACGCCATCCGTGCAGTCTTTATAAGGAGAGGCCAGTAGTGGACTGTTAAAGGTTGTTGATGAAATCTTAGCTTGTCTGACTGTTATTTAATTTTGTCCCCGAACTGGAGAACGTGTAGTCTATTTAGGTATCTCTAAATGGACCGGAGTTCAAGGCTTTACAGTAATATATCTACCACTTCAAAAGGTCGACCAATGGACCGTAATCAGCGGTCGAGAGATCTTGTTAATATTATTGAAAGATCGTGCCTGTGTGTTGAAGGTACACATTACCATAGGGACATACATAAGACATTACATAAGGGACGACCGGATGGCGTAGTGGCTTGTGTAACGGACTGCTATTCCAAAAAGTCGCGGGTTCGATTCCCGCTCGAGTCAAATATTTGTGTGCATAAACATTTAATGTTTGGTTTGGCCTGGGTGTTTCTATGTATAATAAGTATGTATTTACAAAAAAAAAAGTATATATGTATTTATATTTTATATCAGTTGTCTAGTACCCATAGTACAAGCTCTGCTTAGTTTGGGACTAGATGGCGTTGTGTGAATGTGGTGGAATATTATTATTATTATTATTATTATTACTATTTTTAGATACTAAATCTATTATAATCTTTAGTATCACTTGAATTTGATATAATGTTGCTCTATCGTTTGTCTGTCAGGATAATTAAAGTACGATAACTACCTAACAGTAAAGTTCTATACCTCTTAGATATCTCCTCCTCCACGCCACAATACTGAAAGTTATAAATTGACTTCGCTCGTCTACGCTATAAATATACCATAATAATATCAATATTATAAAGGTAAAGTTTGTGAGTTTAAATGTTCGGGGTATTCTCAGGAAGTGGTTGTTCGAATTGAAAAGTTTTTTTAGTGTTATAGCCCTTTATCGAGGAATAATATAGACTATAGTACATTATGTTACGACCAAAAGGGCCGAGTATTAATGAAAATGTTGCGAAAACGGGTAAAATTTATTCCTTTTGAGAGAGGTAGACAAAATTTTAAAATATGGTGTAGAAAACAGCATAAACATCTACATGAATAAGTAAAATTGAAGTGTCTGTTTGTAATGTAAAAATTATAGATTTTTTTATGCTCACACGGTTAATTGCACGATACCTATGCCTAAATACCAGTTTAAATTTTTTTGTCTGTCTGTCTGTTTGTTCCGGGTAATCTTGCAAACGGCTGGACCGATTTCGATAATATGTTACTACCAGGTAGCTGTCTACATGAGGAATAACTTAGGCTATTTTTCCTCTCAGAAAAAACCCTTTAAAATTTTGCCCGGATCGGGCATCGAACCCACTAAGGCAGCGCTTGTCAAATTCAACGCAAACGAAGTCGTGGGACCAGTTAGTTTGTAATAAAGACATTAACTGTTTTTTTTTTATTTTATTAAGGTTCAGCAAAAGTTGTTACAGATACAATACAGGTAGGAACATTCAAGTATTTGTGTCTTAAATGTAACTGTACACCTAATTATAGGCAAACACCACGAGCAACGGGTTTTTTGTATCAACATGTTACATAATTTAAAAACTTATTTATTTCACTTAAATTCTAGAAAATATTTTAAATGCTAATAACTAATTATCACATTTTCACACATTTTTATTTTATAAACCTTAGACTTTTTAATATTTTTTATTGTACAAGGGGCAAACAAGGAGAGGTGGCACCCTGATGGTAAGTGACGACCGCCGTCCATGGACACCTACAACTCAAGGGTAAACCAGAATCAGGGGGAAATGGTTTGGTTCCCCGTAAACTCACTTATTCGGTGAACAACTACGAAAAAATTGGTTGCCATTTTCTGTCAGGGATCACACCGGTCGCGCCTATCCCATGGCTCTCCCACAGTAAGATATTTTGTAAGAAAGCATAAGAAATAAAGTACACCTACTTTGAAAAAAGCGTGATAGCTTAGAGATGTGGTTCTAACCCAACAAAGAAGCGTACAAGGTGACTGCACAGATGGCGTAGTGGCTTAAGCGGTCGCTACGCCGCTTGCTACTACGCTAAGTGTTGTGGGTCCGATTCCCACATGGGACGACACTTTGTGTGATTCACAAATTGTTGTTCTGAGTCTGGGTGTTCTTTGTGTCCGTTTCATGTATGTTTGTAAAGTCCCCCGCGACGCAGGATATATTCCTGATGCGGGAGATGTCTTTAAAAAAAAAAACGACTTCATAAATACAAAAGAGGAGGTTCCCAATTCGACTGTATTTAAAAAATCGGTATCTATTGTTATTAAAATGTTACCTGTTATATTAAAGGTCGAACTTATTTTAGTTTTTTTACTTAGATTTGTAATTATTGTGTTCATAGTCAAGTAGTTCAGTGGTTAGTGACTCTGGCAGGCAGTCATGGGTTCGATTCCCACCCTGTACAAATTGTGTGATGGGTACGATCAGTTGTTCTGTGTCTGGGTGTAATTTAACTATAAAAGCCGTGTGGTGTCGTGGGACACCCGATAGGAACGAAGTTGTGACGATCGAGTAAAACTGATTCGACACGATTTTAATTACAACGCCATCTATGAAAGCGGCTATTACCTACAAATTTTCAGTTGGTTTCTAATTAAAACAATTTATACATTGGTAAAATCGCCTTGAGAAATGATTTCGAATAAAATATTTTTTGCTCAACCTAAGAACATATATTCGATAGATGGCGCTGAATGACTGCCAAATGACAATTCAAAATAAAAAGTGTCGTTACAACTTTACGTGAGAATTTTTTCCGTCTAGCCCCCTTTCACAACGCGCGATAAGGAACTTCGTTCCAAAACTTCGTTCCAATATGTATGTATTTAGAAATTTATATCGCGGTAAAAACTACATGTTGCTCGCTGACAATGCAGCTTTCCATTGGTGAAAGAATTTTTCAAATCGGTTTAGTGGTTTAGGCGTGAATACATAACAAATGAAAATAGAAACAATCTCACTTACAGATTTATAATATAGGGAAGTATGGATATTTATCAGCGGTCTGGTTAACATTTTACACGCTCCACCTAGTTTCGGATCAGACCGTCGAGCGTGAAATGTGTGAAGTTTGTTTATTTATTGACTTATAACATACACTAGAATTAATTCGATATTGTAACCGGTACTAGGTGCCTGTGACCGCGGTCTGTCCAACCTGGTCGAAACATCAGAGGGCGAATTCTTGTAATAAAAGTTCGGTCTCAATTCAGTTCCGATCAACTTTTGATCTCACAACTATCATAACAGGTATTTTCGTAGTAAAGTATTAAACATCCGACGTTGACTGTAATGTGATTATATTTTATTGTAACTAAAAATGTTATTAGTAATACTTTACGTTGATCGGTAACGAATTGAGACCGAACTGTTATTGGCCTTCAGGACAAACTCAGACACACCCTTTTAACATATCCTCACAAACACACACAGACACTTAATATAGGTTTCCGATCTCTTTTTGTTACCTACCCACTCTTTTTATTCATCACATCACACATCATCAGCTATTACTAGTACACTGCTGGACACAGGCCTATCCTTAGAAAGGAGGTTTTGGCCTACTATTCCACGCTGGCCAGACGGGTTGGTATAGGGTTTGTTTCAAGTTTTTCTTCTCTCTGCAGTGCTGTTGTCCTGCGTAGTTTGCTTCCTTAGTTGCCTCTTGCCACACCTTATGAATAGGGGTGGTGACACTCTGTATTCTTAATCCATCACCACACGGACAAAGTCTAAGTTAATTGTACTTTTTTTTTTTTTTTTTTTTTTTTTTTTCCGTGCGGAAATCCCCTCGGATACCACCTGTCGGTGGCATGTCGGACTCGAACCGACTAAAACCGCACGCCTTCGCCGGGTACTAATAGCCGGGGAACCAGGTATACCCTAGAAAGGAAGGCCCTGGTGCCCCGACATACCTCGGGTCATCTACAGACGAGTAGACGACCCCCGCCCCGTGTGGGAACCCCATGTTCCCTGTGCTCCCTGAAAGCGAGCGCGCTTCGCAACGCGCTCGCCGCCACCCCGGCCTGCTTCTGCTAGGGTGACAGATGGCCTCACCTGTCACCCCCAGGCCTGCGCTTATGGAGGACGGAGGTCGTTCTGCGACCTCCGGCGCCTGAGTCGCCTGCGCTGCCTGGCCCGTGCCCGGGCCTGGCGGGCCGGGAGAGTTCTAAACCTCTCCCGGTCCCGCTCCGCCGTCTCCTTCGCGAGCATAACTTGCTCGCAGAAGGAGACGGCAGAGTTCCACGCACTCTCGCTCCGCACGATAGCCGCAATCAGGCTATCGAGCGAGAGAACTCCCACTCCGATGGCCGCCACGAGGTCTCGCCTCTGCTCAACCCACGCCGGGCACTCTGCCAGCGTGTGGAAAGTTAATTGTACTGTAATTTTATTTCATAAGACAAAATGTGTGTTACTATTATGGAAGAGGGCACTGGCTTCTGCCACACAATTTCACCTAGTACAGAAGTCAGAGAATTCACACACTATATGTACAGTATTTGTCAGGTAATTTAAAGGCATGTAGTACCTGTTACGTAATC